AAAGTTTATGGTGAAATGTATCAACGACTGGTACAATTTCCCTGCTGTGCCGATGGGAGGGAAATTCCCCCAGCCCAAGGGAATGGCATGAAACTGTTTCTGGGGAGGTTTAGGTTAGACATTAGGAAAAGGTTCTTCACCCAGAGGATGTTTGGGCACTGGAACAGCTCCCCAGGGAAGTTGTCACAGCGCCAAGCCCTACAGAGGAAGCATTTGATTTGGACAATGCTCTCAGGCACGTGGTGTGATTCTTGGGTCTCTCCCGTGCAGGGCCAGGAGTTGGACTTTGATGATCTTGATGGGTCCCTTCCAGCTCAGGATATTCTATGATTCTGTGGCAATTGAATTAGAAGGGACTTCATCAGCATGTTGGACTGCACAGGTATTCTGCTGAGGTTTGATGCAAGTCTTCCCTGACACAGTGGATCCTTTTTGCATTAAATGAAATCTAAACTACACAAAATCTTTCCTTAATGGAGTTGTCAGCATGCTGCCACGTGAGACACAGAGGAGGGCACATTTATTTTCCAAGATCTCTGGAGCCCTTATTACTGACTTCAGCAGAACCTGGCTCTGGTTAGGAAACAGTAAGGTCACAATTACGGTGTTTCATCTGCTTTTCTCTGCTCTTGGTGTGTCAAGCTCTTTAGTAGCACAGTGGAAGTTACTGCAGTGCAGCTCCTGGAGCAACACATTTCTCCTGTTGACCTGAGGACCTATGGGCTATTTCTACACTGGAAGGTGAAAAATGGCCTTAGGAGTAAGAGAAAGTATCCTAGTCTCTTCCACTTCATGTCCATGTTTCTGGACCTTAGCCTTGTAATAATTCAGACTTGAGGTGAGACTCATTTCACCCAGCACTAGCTGTATGCAGTGCTTGATTTTGCTTTTTTTTTTCTTTTCTAGATGTTCACTTCTGGGTGGAATGGTTCATGCCATGTACACACTTGTTTTTCTCAAATAGGTATTTGGGGACTTGAGGATGAGCAGCTCAGATATGAGTGTCAACAATTTGGACATGTTTATGTGGCTAAGTAAATTCTACTGAAAGACTGCTTCCATACTCATAAATTAAACATGCCCTATGGTGTTCTTGGCCTTGAGGCCAGGTGGGATGGAGAGGCTTACTTCTATGCAATGGCTGTCTCACTCTCCAAAACAGGGTGGCTCCATGTAGACTTTTTATTAGGAGTGACCCCTGATCCCTGCTAACTCATGAACTATGCACAAGAGTTATTTGTGGGAGTGCTACTGGCACAGACCAAAGCCATTCCAGATGCTGTGGCAATAACTTATGCTACAGGTAATCAAGTTCCTGTGCCCAGAAATGTTTCCCAGCACTAGTGTAGCCATAGATAAGGTAAGCACCCTATGTTTAGGGAGAATTGGAGCCAGTAAACTGGGCTGACACATTCCCAGTCCCACCTTCTCCTGCAGGCCGCATAAACAAAAGGGTGGGTCCATGCTCATATACCATGTTTTCTGCCTCTTCCCTGAGGGAAGCTTCAGACCTTAGGCTAAACTCAAGTGATGGAATAAAGATTTATGACATGGAAGACTGACCATGTTCACTGTTGGCCAGTCACTTAGCTGACAGATAGACAAAGCCTTCCTTGTTGTCCCAGAGGAGGGGATTGTATTAGGAATGTCCCCTGAATGATGCCTGACTCATACTTACCATAGCACATCATACTGTCACTGAGGGAGATAGAGGTGACTGGATGAGAACTTCCATCATGGTATGGCCCAGGGCTTTATACACATGGTGGGGATATGAATCAAAACTGTCACACTTCCCTCTCCACTGCTGCTCTAAAGTGATGAGCATCAAGAAACACACAATGGGTCATCAGCACAGAAAATACATCAAGCGTGGTTTTGAAACATTTCAACACTGGAAGTTTCCAGTTGGGCAGGCAAGTTGCCTGTTACCAAAGACATACAGCTTAAGCAACTGCTGTTCTGAAAGACTGTTAAAATTAAATTGTGAGTTGACATCTCTGTCATTGCAGCCCTGGAGCAGAGTGGCTGCCTAGGTATTTCATAATGGAGTATCTAAGCCTAGCAACACAGGGCTTAGTCTGCTGAATAGTATGCAGTATTATGTAATTTAATAACATTAAACTAGGATGTTCTGATAATAATATTATTTGAAAGCTGTTTAGTTTATTTAATACCATTTATATTTTATATGCCAATTGAATTTGGGGGAAAAAGATTTTAGAAGAAATTGGGGGGAGTGGAGTAGGAAATTGTGCAATGTACTTATCAGAGACTACATCACATGGTTTGCAAAGCACAGCTTTTGCTTTTATACACATAGTCTTGGCGACTCTCCCGCCAGCAACAATAGTGCTCAGACTCATACTGATGTCACTGTTGAGTTATTTAATTTGACTGAACGAGATTAATGTGTTTATTTAAAACCTCGGTCAAAATGGAAAAGAAAATCTCAGGACAATACTTTCACTTGAACATGTGTGTTTTCGTATCTGATGATTGTAATTTTACATTAACTTATCAGGAGCAGTTGTTTACACATGCCAATGCCCAGGAGACCCCCTCAGATAAGAAATGTGAGCCATTTTCCCTCTCAGCCTGGAGCAGAGACTTTTACACTGCTACTGGTCCAGTGGCCTTTCATTCCAGGCTTTCCTTGCTTCCTGTTGCTGCTTTCAGGGCTGGTCCACAGTGATGCCAGCATTGTTTTATTTTCTCACATGAGGATGGGATATGGTGTGGACAAGCAATGACAGCAGTATGCTGGTGGATCCTCTGCAGGTTCTCACTGGGGCAGCAAGGGCCAGACACCTCCACTGCACAGGATGTCTAGATGGGGCTGGTGCTGGGCTCTGTAGGCTGAGCTGGCAAAGGCTGGAGCCTGCCTGCCTAAGTTTTATCCACATTATGTTTTACAAGCAGCTTGAGGTTTTTTCCTGTGATAAATCATTCTCAATTTACTTCATTCTCACATGTACCCTCTAAGTGTTTGGAATATACTTCAGTTTTGACTAAGAGGCATTAGTAACTATCCAGATAAATGCTTCATGTTAATGGATTTTTACTAATATGGAGCAGGGAAGAAATCTGGAATCTGAAGTTTTTCTTTGTGTGGTGGGACAAGTTTGGGCAGTTCCATGGAATTGATTGGTGAATGGCATGAATGAAGTGGTTTCTGTTGTGCTCTGTCAAGAGCCCCTTTTGACAGTTGAGGACAAATGGACACACACATAGATTGATAATGTAGAAATTGCATAAGCCAGAGCTCAGTGCCATGGTGGGTGCCTGAAGCAAGGTGTGCCTGTTCTGCCATCCAGTTTTGTAGTCCCCCTGTGCATATCTTCATGCTCTGTTGACTGGTGCTTGGAATATGAATCTCTTGGGGTATAGCAGCTGCTGCTGGTGCTTGTGACATGCCAAAGAGTCACTTTTATGCTTTCTCTTCTTGTGGGACCAAGTGCTTCCACTTCCCTAGCGCTTTGGAAGGCTTTTGGGAATTTGAGCTCCTGCCCTCACCATTGCTGCTCTTGTGGAAGAAGCTCATTATGTTTTTGTGTTTTCTCAGGGCACTGGGCATCTTAAAAGGGAATGAAGTGGGGCAGAGGGATGGGCATGGGAACAAAACAGTAGAGCTAGGGAAAAACAGCTCTAGGCAGTCCTTGGTCCTCAGTAAACATCGCACCTTGTCTAAGAGGCTCTGTTGCCCTGGGCCATGTGTGCTTACTCTGCAGCCTGCTCCAGAGCTGTGTGGTGCTGAGGATGTCAGACTCTGCCAAGGAACAGTCTTTGGGGTTGGCCTGCTGTCTCAATGTGTTGTACCTGTGCCTGCCCATGGTGTCCCCAGGTGCCCTTTGAACCCTTACAAGACCTGTACATTTAAGGAAATTGCAGAATAATATGGTTTTGAAGCTCTGATGCTCCCAACACTGGGCAACATCTGTCTCCTCAGTAGCTGCATATAAGCGATGCTGAGGACTCAGTCCAGGCCTTTACTGGCAGGAAGGTCCACAAGGTCGGACTAGGGCAGTCATGGAGCTGCTTCTCTGGAGGCATCCATTTAGAAGCTGCCCCCATCTCCTGTTTTAAGTGCCCTCTGTATAGTTCAGACCTTCGGACTTACTATGCATGGGAGGTCTGTGAAGTATATTTAAAGCAGCTTGACATACAAGGACATCTTTCCTCAGAGTTCCAGTCAGTGGAAATATGTCATTTTCAGCTAAAATTAGACTGGCTCCAGCTACACGAAGGAAAAAAAAAAAGGTAAAATCCCTCAAGAACGAAACTTTCTGTTGGATTTTGTCAGATGCAGCAACTCCTAGCAGGAGTGCTCATCCAGCACAAACTGTGTCCAAAAATCTGTGATTTGGATCCAAAAAGCTGTGAACTGTTGGAGAAAAACAGACAGACTAGGAAAACAAGGTTTTTCTCCTCTATGTGAGAAAATATAAATAAGCTTAGAGAATAGTAACAGATCTTTCAAAGGCCCTAAATGAAATCTGAGAGTAGTTGAATTTGAAATTAATTTTGCACTTAACATTGCACAACTCTTGACCGTACAGTGAGATTGGAGGGACAGAAAGGGAGTTGAAATCAGAACAATATTCTATTTATTGCTTCCATAAAATTTGATGTTGCAGATTTAATTTCATAGAAGATGCTTGAGCTGAACCTACAGCTACCTGAATATAAAAAAGAGGTACATTTCTTTTGTAGTAAATATAATCCCAGTCCAACAACCATTTGCCTGGTACATTAAACTCTAAACAAAAATTGAAGTGACTGGATACTTAATGCTTTCCGTACTCTAACTCTAAAAGGGGTGGGGAGAATAGTAGGGAGGAGAGGCTTGGACCCAAAATAAACAAGAAAAAACAAACAGAAAACCATTGAAAATTAACTATGCATTTTGAATAATTTCTCTTTCAAAATATTTTATTGAAGGAACAATGAAAAGAGTGTGTGAAGCCTAACTGTGTATTATGTTGTTATTCTAGGCTTCATCAGCAGTTTCATGATATTTGGAAAGTTCTGAGACCCACCCTCTTGGACTACTTGTAACCAGTGCCCAAGACTGCAAAAATATAAGTGTGGAAGAACCTTTTCTTGAAGGAAGTGGCTATCACAATACTGTGGAAACTCCGTGCAGGCCTTGCAAGGCAGGAAAGCAGTTTGTGCTTCCGTTGACGCTCGTGTGTAATCTCTGCTTCTTATGCACTCCAGCACCCCAATCAGCTCCTTGTTCTCCTTCACCAGCCCTGCAGTGAAAAGGCTGCTGGGCTGGAAACAAGGAGATGAAGAAGAAAAGTGGGCAGAAAAAGCTGTTGATTCCTTGGTGAAGAAGTTAAAGAAGAAAAAAGGTGCCATGGAAGAACTGGAAAGGGCTCTGAGCTGCCCAGGGCAGCCCAGTAAATGTGTGACGATCCCACGTTCCTTGGATGGGCGGCTGCAGGTGTCTCACCGCAAGGGGCTTCCCCACGTCATATACTGCAGAGTGTGGCGCTGGCCTGATTTACAATCTCACCATGAGTTGAAACCACTGGAATGTTGTGAGTTCCCCTTTGGCTCAAAACAGAAAGAAGTGTGCATTAACCCCTACCATTATCGTCGGGTGGAAACCCCAGGTAATTATGTCGTCTGCAAGTGATTCACATATCTCTATTAGCTCTTGCTATGGCAGGTCTGGTCTTGGTGCATCCTACTGAGTTGTGCTCTGAAATGTGAAGAGGCAGGCCCCATGTGATGGAAGGATCTTGGGTCTTAGCCTGCCCAGTGGCATCGCAGCTCTGGCAGCCAGGAGTAAGGAGGGATTAAGGAGTCGCTTGCCAGGTGGGGTCCACATCCCCCTGAAAGCTCATGGATCTTGTCCAGGGTGCTGAAAACAGCTTCCTTGCTATGGATGTGGGTGCTGAATAGTCCCCATGTGAACTGATGTCCATTTGCATGCAATCTAGGCACCAGCCTAGACTTACCACCCTGGTGAGATTTATGTCTCCTCATCTGAAAACCAACAATCCACTCATTAATCCACAGGACACATGTATCACTAGCTCACTCTTTAAAGATAAGATTTGCAGTAAGATGGCATATTTCGCAATGGATATGAAACCAAGTCAGTTGATTTTTCCTAAAATTCCTGGTGGTCTGTCTTAAGTGGGATTTACATGAGGAGTTTATGTGAAATAAATCCCCCCAAGTTCCCATAAATTTGAAATTTTCCGCTGATGATCCTCTTTAGGCTGGACTTGATCAGCACTAAAAAAACTTAGGACCCCACTGCAGGGTCATTTAATTGGGGTTTATGTCAATGAAACAGCTGTAAAAAAAATTGTAGTGTTCAGTGTTGACTTCTATAGGGATCTTAGAAAGCAGGGCTGACAGAGATCTTGAGCAGTCATCCTGTTTTCCTCTGCCCAGACTCTCAAACCAAAACAAATTACCAGGTGCATTCCTGACAGCTCTTTTTCTAATGAGCTCTAAAAATCCCATGTGATAAAGGCTCCACAACCTCCCCAGGCAAGTAAATCTATTGCTTTGCTATCCTTACAGTTCAAAATGATTTCTAGTGTCTAACCTAGCTCTTCCTTGCTGCCAAAAATCACAGTAATTTAATTTACTAATGGATATGGTGGGTAAGTGTATACTTATTATTCTGTGATTACTCTTTCTCTGGCATGAACTTTACTCTGAGGTGACATTAGGATCAGATAAGTGAACTGTGGGATGTTTCTTTTCACGCAGATGAAATAAGGGCATTTGTTAACATTTGTTAAACAACAGGGGCTGCTTCCTCTTTGGATAGTCCTTCCACTGCAGCAGAGCTGTCACTGTGAAGTTGTATCCGAACTGCTGTAAACATTGTCACAACTAGAATTTTACAGCTACACTGAGTGGTGCTTGTTGTCAACAGTTTTCAGTGGGAAGAGCTGATCTCCTGCCTTGCTAAAATAAACTCTGCAAGAATCTAAGAAAAGATGCTTATAAAATATCCCATTTTGTGTATCTTTCTTTTTGAAGGCTGCAGTCTTTAGTGTCTACTCATTTCTTCCGGTGTAACTCCTATGTAGTTGCGGAGTCTCCTCGGTGCAGTAGGTGACAGCACTGCACAGTTCTGTTTTCAGCTCTGATCTTCTCATCTGTTCAGTGCCAGCTAAAACACACTGATCCTGGGGTAGTCCAGCAGCTGCTAAATGGCTGCCAAAGCTTGTTCTGACCCTGAAACTCAGTAGTTTTCAGCTCTGAGCACATCTCTATCATTTGTCTCTGCAGCACACTGGCTACATCTCTACTAGTAAATGAGAAGGGGACAAGGTGCAGGTCTGGTATTGCTGAATTGGTAGTGTGATCCCAGGAATAGCTTTGACCCATGTGGACTCTCATGGACCAGCAGTAGTCAGGGTGCAGGGGTTAGCCCACAGGAGGGGCTTTAAGCACTTTGGACTTGACCACCTTCTTTCGGAGGTGAAAGAGAGTGCATCTGTGAGTATGCAAGCTGTGCTGTGCCAGTTCTCCACAGGACCCAAGAATTGTTCTCAGGATGTTATATTTACCCTTAAGACTCCTCTTACAGGGACAGCTTAGAATCCAAAGCTCACAGGTGAGACACCTCCCTACTAAAGATGAGATATAGCAAAGAGTACAACCTACTCAGCTGTGCTGGGGCAGCTGCAGGAGAGATAATTTACACCAGTGCAAGTGGTGTAATGCACCTCCAGTTAGACAGCAGTGCTGCATGGAGATGTTGGTGAGGCAAGAGAAGAAATAAGCTTCATGAGAAAGTGGTAGCAGTGAGATCACCACAGAAAAGTCTATGGGACTGGTTGATCTAGGTGCCAGTCTGTTTAAACAACAGTCCACTTTAACTGCAGGAAATCTTCTGCATCTTGGCTGTTGGTGATCTGAGACTTATACAAGATTCTCTGAGTCTCATCCTCTGGAACTAAAAAATCCACCCATGGAATAAGTCAGCACTGCATTTCTTTATAATCCACATGCCAGTATCATATTCATAAAAATGTCCATCCTTTTGGAGATCACTTTCCATCACTGCAGTCTTTCTTGCTGAGTCAAGCACTCTATGAACAGATCCTTTAACTTTTATCCAGAATGAGTGAATCATAGAATCAACCAGGATGGAAGTGAATTGTGTCAAAGATGGGAGTGCCTCACCCTTTCTTTGATTGCCCTGCAGATCCCTAGACTTCTGTTACTAGCAAGCAGCTTTAAGCTCTGGTCTGAGATTCAGGGTTTTCATTGCCTCTGTTGTATCCTCAGGCTTCCCAGACACATTTTAGTCTCTGCTGACCAATACTGCACAGATTATGCATAACTTTTATTGCTGCTACTAGTGTGCCCAGCAGATTTCTTCTCAGGTCTGCTGAGTGGCAGGCACCACTTAGAAAAAAAGCAGCAAATATTTCCTCTATTTGTGCAACATCCCACTGCAGAGAGGGGTTAGGCCACCTAGCCCAAGGGAGATAGGTATGGTGGTTAGGCTCTGCTTCCCCATTGATTATTTACTTCGAAGAGCTGGTCAGAAGTCTGAATAGTTTGCTGTCAGGTGCAGTTTCAGAAAAATATAGAAGCTGCCTAAACATGTGCACTATTACTTTTACATGAGATCATTCACGTGTAGATACTGCAAATTCAAGGGTGCACCATTGCTGTAGACAGCAGGAGCCTAAACGAATTTTTGATTCAGACTGATTGCTTTCCTCAAGCCTCCCAGGTGGAAGACCACCTGATGATCTCACTGTTGGCCATGCATTTGGTGTTCATGAATGGTTGTGGGCACAGAGAATAGGTGTATCTCACCAGAGAGTAGGTTTCCAAAAGTAGTAAGCTTTGCAGAGATGGACTGATGTGTGAGAAATCTCAGTGTGGATGTTGCACCTGGAATTAAACTGGGGCAGATAGTTTGCTTGCTAGCACTTAAGTCACTGGCTCTGGGCACAGCCAGGTTTCCAGCAAGAACTGTTGCAGAAAAAGGGAACAGGGGAAAGCCTTGTGCATGAAAGGCAGTGCCAGGACTTGGGTCATGGTCATATTTGTTGTCAGTTGAACAAAGATCATCAACATTTGGGCATGCATAGAAGGAAGGATCCACCTCTGGCTCTTGGTGGACAACAACAGGTAGAATAAAAGGATCCCATTGAGTGGAGAAAATGCAGGAAAATTATGAGGACAGACAGGTCCCAATACACTCAATCACTCAGTTTTGTGCCTCTGGTCACACTTGCTTCAGCGTGGTTGAGCCCTGAAGAGTGACATGTTACCAAAAGAACAAGGAGAACAAGGCCCCCTGGGGTACTCTTAACCACAAACAAGAAAATCTCTGGATTCCTCACCACCACAGAGGCTTTAGCCCTCCAGGCAGCCACAGAACAGTCAGTGGAAAGATTGAGTGAGGTGGCAAAAACTGTACAGCAGTGCAGAAATTGAGTGGCCTGGTCAGAGCTGGGAAGGAGTTCAAGGCTTGAAAATTCTTCTTGCTGACTCACTCAAGGCGAATCAAAGGCTTTCCTTGGCAAGCGCAGTTCACTCATCCAGATTCTCAGCTTTCATTTAGAGGAGTTGTGTCAGGTTCTCACAGGGCTGAAGAAAGCTGCTTCCTTAGCAGTGGTACCTTCAGCTGTCCTTAGCTCAGCACCTCTCCTGGGTGCAAAGGGATCACCAGTTCCCTGTTTTCTAAGGCTGCTGGTCAGACCTGGCTGAGCAGGAGCAGACCTGGCAAGCATCACACCAGTTTCTTGGAGCAGCAGAGGAAAACTGCAGAAACAGCAACAGCTCACAGCCTGGAGCTGCTCACAAGAGCATGGGATGGGAGGGATCCAGCTCACCAAAACCATGTCTGTAGCGGTGGTAGTGGGCTTATCCCAATATATAGCAGATGAACATAGCAGTAAAAGTCTATTTCTCTCCACTGGCTATGAAGAGATCCACAAGGGACTAGGCATTGCATGTCAGGTGTGAGTAGTTCTAATGCCTGTATGAGTCCTACCCGGAGAGTCTAGGAAATGTATAAAGCTAAAAAAGCAGCAAAGAAGCAGAAATAGCTTTCTCTACCAAAGGTCTTAAGAATGTCGCAGCAGAATCTTCATCCTGCAGATAGGGGCATTATATCAGAGGCAGAAGGGAAGAGAGTAGTCTCCAGAGCACCATCCTTGTCCTGGCCAGAAGGTAATTAGAAATGCATTAGGCCAGAGAAGGGTCTATGTCTAGTCTCTTAACTGGTATCCCAGTGCTTGTGTTTCCAGGCAGGTAAGAAGGAAACTTCTGCAGCAAACTCCCTGCCATCAGTCCAGTACTTTGTATGGTTTTAAGGCTCAGGTCTTCAGTTCATGCGTGACTGGCAAATTCCCAAATGGTATGTGCCAGAGGGTGGGCATATGCATGGTTTTACCCTGCCCCAGCTGCAGCATTGTGCTACATTAAGCAAGAAGCTATATCCTTGCTGTTGGTACCAGGCAGTGTTTCTCTTCCTTCTGCTTAAACTGCCCCAGCTGTCTGAGCAATTGATGTGCATTCCAAGGAGAGTGTTCCTGTGGCCTCTTTTCATGCACATTTTGCATTATCTATATTTTTTATTTGCTTTACAGCAATTATTTCACTCTTTCATCAAACTGAATAAATGAGAGCTTGCTATAATTAAAAGGTGTTAGCTAACCTACCTAAAAAGAATCTGCCTTACCTAGACAGAGCTTTTGGGTTCCAGCAGTATTTGGAAACACATTCAAACCATATGTTCCCGTCAGAGCTTATAATCAAGAGTGCACATTGCTATTTGTTTCCATAAACTAGTGAGGATAGACCAAGAGATGATGTGCTGTTGGGACTTAGGCCAGTGGATCTCTGGACACTAAGTCAATCAATTCAAGCCTGCCGAGTTGTCCCCAGTGTTGGAGCAATTCTTTCTGGTCACAATAACTCAAATTGCTTCCTTATCTTCTCTGGTGGCTTTTAGATCTGCACAATAGCAACTTGGGATTCATTCTCCCTGCCTGTGTTTAAGGCCTTAACTAAGATAATTAGGTACTATGTGGGCTTGTAACTAAGAGAGAAAACTTGGGATACAAGAATTGCCCATTGTAGGTGCTGTTCTCCCCTCAAGGACTACAGGGGACCCAGTTAAAGCCTCAGGTTGAACTCCCATATGCAGAACTATTTAGCAAGCCTTTTTGTGTTCCAGCCTAGGGACTGCATCTTCATAGGTAACTCACTAGTTGGATTTTTTAAAGTGTTTTGACTCCAGTTTTGCTCTTGCTCCTCATGTGTCAGAATCCAAAGTAATTTGGGTCAACTTTGGGTTTCTCGATGGAGCAATGCAGTTAACAGCACTGACAGTATGAGATGTAAGTGAAGAGAGTTTGTGAAGAGGGGTGATATCCTCCACTAGACAAATTTTTACATGGGTTAATTTGGATTTCAGTTTTCTTACCTGCATTTTTCATGTCTTAAATACCAACCACTGACATATGACTCCTTATGCTAGATCTTTTCTAACTATATTGCAAGAGCTAAATTAATATTGCTGCAGTATTTGAATTGCCATTTACATTTCCTTTTAAAGATCTCACTGGCTGGCTGGCAGCATTTTCAAGCACCACAGATCATTTCAGATCTGGTGTCATCTTCAGGTCTGTGCTTCATTTTACCCATCTGCGACACACTGGTAGTAAAATATGCAGTGTATTGCAGAGTACTATCAATTGTTATTAAACTTGGCTGTGAATTTGGCACATCCTGGTGATAATATTTAGCAAATTCCTGACATGGTCAGTCTTTGAAGAAGGAAGGAATAGATAATTTTGAGAGGGAGAAATGTGCCACTTGCATTTCTGCAAGAGGGCTGCGTGCACATGCCATACCTGTGAATTTTATGGTGCCTTGTTCAAGTCAGGATTCCATATTTTGCATATGGAACTGCTGTAACTGTCTTCAAATCTGGAGAAAAAGGTCCAAGAATCAGGTTTTTAGTCTTGTTTTTGAACAGGTTTGTTGCCCTTCAATGGCTTGTATACAGACAGCAATATTTGGGCAGCCTGGAATATGCCTCTTTTAAACATACAAAGAGAGATACTTCCAAGAATGCAGTTTTAACCATGTTTTTCCTGTTGTTTTTATTTTCAGTCCTACCTCCTGTACTCGTTCCAAGACACAGTGAGTTTAACCCTCACCTCAGCCTCCTCGCCAAGTTTCGAAACACTTCTCTGCACAGTGAGCCACTGATGCCACACAATGCCACCTATCCTGATTCTTTCCAGCATCCTCCATGCACCCCTTTTCCATCATCACCCAGCCACATGTTCTCCCAGTCGCCTAACAGCATCAGCTACCCCAACTCACCAGAAAGCTCTTCTGGACCAGGAAGTCCCTATCAGCTCATGGGTAAGAATGAGCTTTCAGACAACCTGACTGGGGCAGCTGAGGTTCTTGCCAGGGCCTGGGGTCAGGCTATAATTCTGGATGCTACTCTCAGGGTATAGCTGCAGATTGAACTATTGGACAGAATGGATTTGGAATGTGATTTCTTGTGACTGTCTCTTAGTATTGTCTCCCAGTCCTTCTGACAGATGCTCAAGGGACTAAAAATTGTAGTCATCTGGCTCTTAGAAGTGCCTGGGTGAGATTTCATGATTACTGTAAGGGAAAAGCTGAGGAGAGGCATGAGTGCCAGGCTACCTTCTGCCTCAAGTCAGCCATCCGAGCTTCCAATACAATCCATGAAAAAGAGCACTTGCAAGACCTAAGTTAGGGACCTAAGATGGTGAGGGTAGGGACCTTTAGAAACTCCATCAAGAGAGACAGGATAGAATGGGGAAATGGGTGTGCAGAAACATTTTTAAATGTATGGTGACCCCGTGGACTGTGTAAACTTCAGGAAATTAAGGTGTTTAACAACCCGGTGAAATGCGTGGGGAAGCCACTTATGACTTTGGAACATGTTTCATGGCTCTGAGATCGGTAGGGTTATGTCACTCAGACTGTTTGTGTTGTGAACTCCTTCCTTAGTACTGCTCTAATTATCTGAGAATTTACCTATGCTTTTGCTGTTAATGCGACACAGCTGAGAGCTAGTTTTGATATCAAAACATTCTCCAGATTGACTTCTGCATTTTAAGTCTAAAATAGTTTCAATTCATCTTTTTCATGAAGATTAATTAAGGTCAAAATCTTGTAGCTTAAGGTTTTAGTGTCTCAACTATGAAGCATTTAAATTCATGTCCTTAATTATATACCTATTTTCATCTTAAGTGCAAGAAAGGTGTTAAGTTTTACAAGGTATTTGTAGTATTTGAACTTCCTTTTAAGCTGGATCTCTCAATACAATGTGATGTTTTTCCTTCCCTCTCCATTCATTGAATGTGCCTTCATTCATTTCTTCTCCAGATCTATATTTCAGATTAAGTCATATTTAGCAACATCGAAACATTTCAGCAAGTAGTAAGACTTGTTTGTCTTCTCCTGTATTTTTTCTTTCACCTCTGTGTAACCAAGCTGGATTCAGTGGAGCTGGTCCTGACAGGTAAATCAGGCCTGTTCCACCTATGTAATGACTCTGACTCGTGCATTTAACTGAACTTGGGACCTTGCAAAGCTACTTAAAAATGGAAGTGGCTCAACCTGAACTTCAGTATATCACAGCACATGGCATGATGATAAGAACAATTTGCCTGTGTAACTATCAGGGATGGAAGGCTATCTAAATCAAACTGGAGTTACATCAAGAACCTTGAGTGGGATTGGTATGACCAAATATAGATGTCAACAATGCAAATTTCTACATCTTATGCAATTGCCTATACACTCTTTGTAATCGGGCACTCCTAGAACCAGATTCATTGCATCTCCTTGTGTCTGTCTAAAGTAGCTGAGATACACTGTGTCTGCAGGTGCCTACTTTTCCTTAGTGGGCATAAGGAGAGGTTATGGTGACTAGCTTAGGTGTAGACATCAAAAGTACCCATATAACTGCATTATATTCCTTTCTGTAACTTGTTTTCTCTTCCACTATTTCTTGATTTTCTTTTACTATTCTAGCTTGTTGAATTTTCTGTAGGAGGGTTATGTCATCTATGTGTTAGAAATAACATATAGCGTATGAAATTCCTAAATCCTGAAAAATGTTTTAATAGAATAACATTCGTGTGCAGTACTTACCTGGAAGATACAATGGTTGTCTTATGAGACAATCCACAGTTATCCTCTCTGGGTGAAGTTGCTCTGTTTTGAGGGCCAACCAACAGATCTCAAACACAAGAGGGAATTTCAGCCTGGAGCCAAGCTAAACCCTGGTCTTCTTAAAGACACCCTTAGTCCTGCAAGCTTGTATATGGTGACATAATTTGCACATAAGCCTCTTGTAAATGCAACAAATCAGGAGCTGGGCAGGTTGGGAGTTGCTACTTTTTCTCCATATATTTTCATCACATCCATTGCTCTTAGATGGGAGACAGAGCAAACCAGGAGAGGGACAGCCTTCCTTTGTAGGACAGCGATAAAAAGAGCAAATCTGGACAGAGTTTTGCTGAGTCTGATTTTAGAGTGTAAATGCTTTCCACAGGCTTTTTTTTATAGCCTGTGAAGAAAGATCTTTCTCCCAGAGGGTCAATTATAGTTAGCTTCTGCTCTTAAATCATCCTCCTCAAGTTTTAAGTTAATGAGAGTAGTCTGGAACTGAGGGATCAAACTGCATTAGTTTCTTAGGGTAACAACTGGTGTTAACAGAGAGCTTGACTGCACATGGGTCTAGGCCTGAGGCACTGTTGTGACTGTCCCTCTCTCTTTCAAATGCTACTTGTCCAACATGACAACTTTTCCTTCTCATCTTTCCTGAACATGCAATGCTCTTAGTCTAGAGACTGAAGGGAGGTCAAGTTTGGATTTGTGCTGTTTCCAGCCATTCTCTAGTTAAACAATGCTGAAGAAGTGAAGTATTCACCAGGAAAAGCCATGAGGCATGTGCTGAAATACTGATTTAGGTGTCTCTTTCTTTTCCTTCCTTCCTTCCTTCCTTCCTTCCTTCCTTCCTTCCCTCCTTCCTTCCCTTCCTTCCTTCCTTTCCTTCCTTCCATATAGTGGAAACTCCACCCCCGCCCTACCATGCAAGAGAACCTCCAGGAATCCACAATGGACGGTCAATGGATGCAATAGCTGAAAGTCAACTAGTGCTGTCTTTGCCCAACGGAGGTAAATCTGCCGATGGAGAAGCTGAAAGTAAATAACCATTTGTACTATTCTTTAAATAAAAACTGTTAAGAAAAAAATCTTTTATTTGGACAGGAAGGTTCAGTGACCTGTAATAATAGGTTTCAGGCAGTTTTGCAGTGAGGCTGTGTGCTAGGCCCATCCATTAGCCAGCAGAATAGGTTGATGTCAGAATTCCATGAATTATATGCAAAGTTACAGAGTTTAGACCTGATTTCCATCCATGGACTATTACAGTTAAAAAGCTGTTAATGAAAGCAAACACTGTTATCTACATTGTAAAGATAGATAAACATATCAAATCAAGGATGGTGAGGCAATGTAACACACAAAAGCATTATCAATATCAGAACTCATTTCTTTATCTCCTTCAGTTCTGGGTTTCAACTACTTTAAGACCTTTCTTACTTCCATCTTTGTATTAATGTTGCATTTCTGGCTGGCTAGAAAAGAAAAGGAAGTGACAAAGTGACAAAGAGTTTGGTCTTCTGTAAAGATCTCTTTGTCTCTTATAAGAATGCTTTAGTGGTAGAGGGCATGGATGGTCAGAGAAGAAGGATCTGGGGTCCTCCTTGCACCCTTCAAAACAACTTGATGACCTCTCCAGCATGGTTTCTGCTACCTTCAGACTAGTACTGGCAGGTACTAGTGGTGGGTACTAGAGCAGCAAGGGGAAATGGCATTCCTCTGCTGGGTTTTCCTTTGGCTTCCTGCTACTGCAAAGGGAAAATCACCATTATTCTTTCAGTCCAGCATATTGTAGTCCTAAAGAAATGTTGTTTATAGAATGAGGACTGAACACTGTGCATGCACATGCACTTTAAAACAATATTGCTAGCCTTCTGAAACAGTGAGGAGCCTGTATGTAGCACAGAACTGGAGCAGAAGGAAGATGAGGGGGATAGTGCTAATTACAGATGGGTACACAGAATGGCCAGATAATAACAAGTTATCAGACACCAGTACTTTTAAATAAATTGTCAACCTACTTTAATCTCTTTATCATAGTTTACCATCCCTGATCACTATCCTAGTGAATTTTAGTTGGGAGTTTATTAGAGGTTATGAACAGAGGTGCTGTGGGGGCAGTTGGGCTCACATGCCTGCGGTGAGCAGGCAGGATAAGGTTTCCTACTAATTCCTGCAGGACAAATGAGGCTCAGAGATTCTGTTACATTTTTGAGTCTTTCTCTGACTTAGAAATCCTGCACATCCAAAAGAAATGACCTTGCTGACATTTCTGCTTACAGTCCCACATGGAAGTGGAAAGTCTGAAAGCATGCAAAAAATTGAGGGGGGAGTGATTTATTACTTCTAAACTACAGAGTTTGGTATTAGGCTGAAGGCTTGGCTCAGTTTTGACTTGCTTTGAGCCCATCTGTCATCCCTAGCTCCTGCTGGTGTGCAGAGCAGATGTATCCCTTACTATTTTCAGTGTAGATTTTGGGCCCCAGTTCAGCAAGGAATGTCAGCATGTGCTTGATTTAATGCAGTGGAGTTATCACTTTTAAGAAGAACTGTGACTCCTCAGAGGTTTAGAGTTAAGTTGATGCACCAGCCTTTCGCATGTTTGGGACTTCAGTCACAAAATTAAGAAGCAACAGAAGCTTCTGTTGAGACAAAGCATGGCATAAGTGGCTGTTTAGTTGAACCAATGGGGGGGGGGCTGAGAGTGGGAGAGAGGAAAGAAAATAGAGGATTTTTTAGAAAAATATTACTGAGTCCTGAACAGCTGATTAACTTTATTTCCTACAGACTTTCGGCCTGTTTGTTATGAGGAACCCCAACACTGGTGCTCAGTTGCGTACTATGAACTCAACAACCGCGTAGGGGAAACTTTCCAGGCTTCCTCTCGAAGTATCCTTATAGATGGATTTACAGATCCCTCAAATAATAAAAACAGGTTCTGCCTGGGTCTACTCTCAAATGTAAACCGCAACTCTACTATAGAAAACACCAGAAGACACATAGGAAAAGGTAAGAGGAAATCCCTTCTCCTCATGAATATTCACAGGTCAAAAGACCCAACCCTTGCTGATTTGATAGATGTGCTTGTTTGAAATCAAAGCTCTGAGATTACTTCTGAAATAGAAGAAAAGCAGCTGATTTTTTTTCTGACTGGATAGCAATCGACAGAGTAACTCCTTACAAAAGCTATTTACTTGGCCAGCAAAGAGAAAAATGTTGTTTATAGTTGTGTGTTCTAATTTAGCAGTATGTATTTTCGTTTTATTTATTAGAGCTTCTGGCAACTGGGAATATTGCCATTGAAATGCCACTAAAAGGATAATTGCTGGTGCCTCAAGGCTCGTTCTCCTCCCACCAAATAACAAAGAGAGATGGATGAAGCACTTAGTAGCTGAGTTACTTAGCTGAAGAGCTCTACCAAAGTTGCCTTTGTAGCTTTCTCCCCCTACCAGTCTGATTCCCCGCTTTGCCAACTTTTCGCCAGTAAAGCTAAGGCATGGATTCTACCACCAGTGTTTCTCTTCATGCTCCTCTGCTGGTGTACATATACCCTCAGCATGCAAGATCATTTGCTGCTGGTGACAAGTACAAGGAGACCCACACGTGGACATGCATGGCCACACATACTCCATCCAGCTCACTAGGGTTGTGTAGGGCATCATATTCGCCCAGAACTTACTGTTGTATGTGGTGGTGAGTCAGAAGCCCTGTGCCAGCCACTTCTCCATGCAGATGAAGCTTTGCCTGTTCTGGTATATCCAGTCTAGACTCATTACCTTGCCAACCCAGCCTCTCACCAGTAGCTGCTTGGGAACGTATTTCCCACTGGGCTAATTAACTCTAATTGTTCCACTCCTATTATCTTGTCAACCTCACCTCATTTCCCAGGCCTAGAGCAGTATTTTAATTGGCTCTTGATAGTCTAGTGTTGAATGACTGAATACGAGGAAGCTCTGAGACAAATGTGATAGTTTTTGCAAACAGCAGTGAACCTGAAGGCTGGTGCAGGAGATGTTGTGCTTAGCTCTTGCACTTTTATCCTGAAGGGAAAGAACTTGTGTTGCAGATGCATTGTGTGAAGCCTGTGTGATACTACAAGTGTCCGTCATAGTGGTTCGTTGTGAGGGGTGCAAATGTGTTGTTCATCTAATTCTAACTTAGAAAATAAAACAAAGCTGTCAGAGGGATGTAGATCAAAGCTGAGTCTGTCCCTGAAAGAATGACAAAAGATCCCAGCTGTCATTTGAGGATGTTACATCCTGTGACTTTCTGCCCCAGAAGAGGAAGAGACAGAACAGTAATAAAATGACGTGAATGCTAATGGTCTTCATCCATTCAAATCTGAAGGTCTGTCTTCATTGCTTAAAAGTCCTTTAAAGTCCTACACTAGGAATCTGCCTAAGGGAAGGGAGCAGGTTGCCCAGAGAGGAGCTTAGTATATCAGAGATCCTTAATTTTACTGCTCTTCCCTGTTTATGCAAATCTTAAAAAAAACACATACAAGTGGAGTACAAGTGGCACCAGTACAGGCCTGCAGAAGAGCAGAGAGCAGCTCCAAGAGCATGTAGTTCAAAGGCATGGTGGACAGATGAAAGCTACTGAAATGGATTGTCACATGTTAACAGGGCAGAAAAAAAGCTTGAGTAAACAAGATTAGCTCAGTAGGATAAGGATATGTGATTGAATTGTCATCTAGTGTATCAGCGTGAAACGGTTTCCTGGAAATACCACATCAAAGCTAAAAACAGTCCAGAACACAATGCAACATCTACTAGCAATTGGACCTGTTTCAGCAGTCAGACTTCAAGGACAAAATGGGGACTTTTGATCGGTGTCAAAAAGATGTGGATGCTTGGAGACTGCTGAATTTCCAATTTCTGCAGGGAGCAATGAAATCCCACTAAAACAGAAGGACCCTTGATTTGGTTTTCTACAAATATGTATTTAGCTGCTTGGTTTCCTTGAGGTTTCATTTCTTTGGTGAATCAATGCTAGAAGAATAGAAATGCATGCTGATATTTCATTACTGCTGTATTTATTGCTTTTAAAATGTCCACAAGGAAAAAGCAATTTGTAGCATCTGCTTTCAGAAGTGACATCCGTGGTTTTGTTGTTATAGCACACGGTTTGGGCGATGCTTTTGAAAGCATTCTTTTTCTTTTTCTTTTTTTTCAGAAAATGGGTTACTCAATATGCTTTGAAGACTCAGCCTTTAACAATTTCACCTTAGCATCACAAAGTGTGGTCACCCTAAATCAGTAGCCACACCTAAAAATTTGAAATGTGGTGAACATTTATGTCCTTATTCTTCACTCCCTACCCTCTGTTCTCACTCTGTCTGATTATCTCAGAAAGTTCGATGGACTCCATCAAGCTACTTCATGTTTTCAGTGCTTCCCGTTTACCCATTTCCACGGGAAAGAAAGGAGACTTAGGAGAAGTAATAGCAGTGGCAGCGTGCAGCACCCCACGGCGTCTGGTGCAGTGAGAGTAGAGCTGATGACTGGTGTGATGGAGCTGTCCCCTCACCAGTGTTCCCAGTGCAGTACCAGCGTGTGCTCTGAGCCGCACCCCTGCCACTCACATCTCATTGGAGATCTCGTGCGTGCATTGAAGTCAAGTGATGGCTTGAAGACAGGCTTTAAGGTTCCCATCTGAGTCACCCTGGAAGACTATGAGAGAGCATATTTTTCCCAGATTCCTTTCTCACTCAACCTGCTTTTCCCTGAGCCTTTCCCACTCCTGTATGTAGGCTGTTTTTGTCTTGAGGATGTGCTGCTGCCCCTTGTTGTTATGACCACAGAATGATGAACAGACTGGGAATATACAACCCGTCTTTTTTTTGTATGAAAGACAAGACTAAAACTAATTACAACTGGATTATTAAAGCACAGTTATCACTAGCTTTGCAGGCAGCCCACTGAGACTCTGTGAACCTGTACATTTGTATGTAAGCATTTGAATGCCATACCTGGGAATAGAGAGGAAGATTTTATTTTTATTTAGTAGTGGTTTTTATGAGAACAAAGGACTGAGTTCTTCTACCTCTCTTGACCATGGGAGGGGTTCATTTCCCCTAATCTAGCCATGGGAAGGGTGGCTGTCTGGGCATTTTCACAGAATGATTTAGCCCCTTTCAGGGTGTGGCTTCAAGCTCACATTTAAGCAGTCTGGGTCCCCGTTGCCACGCTTGCACCGATGAAGATCTCACTAGATCTCATGGAAAATAAATCTTCTTTTGTTTTGTTTTGTTTCTTTTAAGTTTATTAACTGGTTCAGTTCCTTGGTCTGGATGGCTGCCCAATCCTCAGCCCTTGCTGCCAGCATGAAAGCAGGTGTGGAAAGAAACAGCAGGGGCAGGGAATGGGAGAGCCTTTTCAGCACCTGCACAGACTTCCAACAGTTTAAGCTGGCTGTGAGCCTGCACTCTGTAGCGGATGGAGTAAATCATCTGGTCACAGTGCCTCTCATCATCTATCAGCTAGAGAAGACATCTACACAATTAGCTTACACAAGATCCCTAACTTCAAGGCTGATGAATTAGGCTAAGATAAATTGTCCCACCAATTTAGGTATATTTTCATGCAAGCAGATATCCTGGGGGGATAAGAGTCTTTGAATAGATAGTAGTGCTTCCATCCTCATTTCCCCAAGGCACGGTAAAAATTTAAGAATTAATGTTGGTAAGTCGCTTGAGCACTGAAAAATTCAGAAGGAAATCAGTCATTTTCTTGCTAAAGGTTTTTTGGAACATGATCTGATGAGTAAGTCATATCATGTAAATGCAAATACATGGTTGTGATGTGGTGGATAAAGCAAAATACAGGAAAGCTATTTTAAGTACACACCATGCTGTGCTTTAATTGCATGATGTAGGATCCTGTAGTAAAATAATAGCGTGCAGTGAAGTGGGTCTTGGTTAGTGTGCATGTGCTCAACAGTGAAAATACACTTAGATGTGTAATGCAATGCTGATTTGTCAGTTCTTTGATAATTTTGATTCATGCTTTGTATGTGGCTGACACATGTTTGATATTTATGTATGTGTATGTGTGTCTTGTCACAAAGTACTATGGTGTTGGGTAAAAGATGCAAACCAACCTTCACTGAGAAACAAAGGAAAACATCACCTGCCAAGATTTTTTTTCTCCTAGATCAGTACCTCAAAATAGTGTTTATGACAATTTCCTCTTAATGTTGGTGGTACATTGTACATACACACATTTTACTGTCTTTTAAAATATAATGTATAGGCACTGGGTACCTGAATGATCCTGGGCTTGTATGCCCACACCCATAAAGTAAAGAATTATTGGGGTAAAGTGTGTTGTGAACAACACAGAAATAATACACATTATTTTTTTCTTTTACAAGGTGTTCATCTTTACTATGTTGGTGGGGAAGTTTATGCTGAATGTGTCAGTGACAGCAGTATTTTTGTGCAAAGCCGCAACTGTAACTACCAGCATGGTTTCCACCCAGCCACTGTCTGCAAGATCCCCAGTGGCTGCAGCCTCAAGATCTTCAACAACCAGCTCTTCGCCCAGCTGCTTGCCCAGTCAGTCAATCATGGTTTCGAAGTGGTGTATGAGCTGACCAAGATGTGTACTATTCGAATGAGCTTTGTTAAAGTAAGTATTCTTTGTTTTCTCTTGTGTTTCTGTATAGGCAAATCCCATCCCTTGCTAGCTTTGATGCAAAACTAGATCCCATCAAATCCTTTCCAAGTGAGGATTTAGACACCCAATGTGCAAGTAGCAATTCAGACTGCCTGTTTTCCAGTATTACCATAAACTTCTAGGTACTTAAAATCAGTAGCTTTTGTGGTCAACCTGAAAATTTCTTAGATTTGAAAATTTGGGTATTCCATAGACTTTCTGTGGAAAATAGGCAGAGAATGCATCATGGTGTTCCCCCATTGACTGCACAAAAAGTTCAACTCAGAAGGGCTTAGCAACATGTAAATGTTGTAGCACATATCTTAGGCAGTTGTGATCTCTCCCATTGGTATTGGTTTGCAATAGAGTTTGGTAGAGCCATAGATCTGACAAGATTGTCCTTGTGTCTCTAGGCTAATTTACAATCTCACCAGCACTGTAGCCTGGTATATATGGTCTCAGTCAAGAAACACTGGGTCTTCCTTCATTCTCCACTGAAGCTTGCCTGATCCCTGGCAAAAGGCTGTCTTAATTTCTGATGACATCCACTCTGGCTAGCCACATGACCAGGAGGGCTTCTTGCAAGCAGAATAGAAAACCCAAAAGAACATCTGAGCATCCCCTGTTATTTGGAAGAGACAGGAGACCACCAAAGCCATTACTGTTTCCATGTCTTTCATATCTGAAATTTGCAGTCTGACTGTTCTGTGTGAAATCTATCAGTCTTTCTGGGAGTTTCTCAAATCTTCTGAATGGCCTTCCCACCAGAATGAGATCTTTTGACTCCTTTTAGCACTTAGAATTTACTTAGGTGCCTATCATAGCATATGAATCCCAAAGAATGGTGAGTATTTCAAGACTGTGTGCAGATGTGCTGGACTGACTTGCTATAGTGCTGCTGGGGAGAACTGGCAGCAACGTTCAGCCTGCAAATGAGGACTTGCACCATTAGAAGCCAGTTGGTCCTGCTAGATACCATAAGAAATGGCTTGAGTATGTCTCTTTGTCTTGCAGATTTGTTTCTATACAAATGACTGAGCCAAGATGATTGAATTCACATCTAAGATACTAAAAAACTGCTTGAGGCTCAAGCCTAGTAACCTTATATTCTGAAGAGCAGATGAGTTGAGTCCCATACATCTTTCCAGCCTGACTTTTTCCAGCTGCCCTTGGGGATCCATCTCCTTAGGTCTCTGAGAGCATTAAGAGTGCCCTGTAACTTCTCTCAAGTGTCTAAGCCAAAATCTCCAAGCCCATGCCCATGCTGTTGCTTTGTTCTTGAGAAGGAACTGACATCTTGTTCACATGCAAGCATTAGGGGAAAAAAAGAAAGCAAGAAACCCAACAAACAGCATTTTCTTTAATGAAAGACAAGAATGGGCATGTTGTTTGTAAAGGCAGTGTAGCCAGTTACACAATATTTTCTTTATCTCAGCAACACGTGGGCAGTCTCTTTGATGTGTTATCTGCCTCCATGCCCAGTGTGGCAGCAGAAATAGTACTGTTGATGCACTAAATAATGCTGCTGCCATATTATCACCTTGCTTTGTTGGAACAATAGCAGCTACTATAGTGCCTCAGGCACCAGAAGACCAGTGCAGGGAATTATTTTGAACCCTTTCCCATGACCTTTGCAAAATTGCTATGCAAATCTCATCTATGTTCTTTTTTTTCTGGCCTGCAAATACACTTTCTTGTACTCAGTCTTCTCAAAATATTTTTCTCCCAAAGTGTGAGCCTTGATGAGTTCAGCCTGGGGTCAGGAGTGGCCCTGGGTGTTGGGTATGCAGTGCACAGAGGGGCATGTTGTCTGTCAGACCCACACACCGAGAGTCCCCAGGTGCAGGGTGGTGCTGTGGCTTTTCCCCTGATTTGTGTCCAGATACTGCTGGTCATCTACAACACACAGGGCAAGCAGAGCCAAAGGGCTGGAGACCCTGCCTCCTACCCCACCAATGCTTGAGTTACCAGCTAGGAGGCAGGGATGGGTAGGGACCAAGACATGAGAAACTTGTCAGGACATGGAGGCAGGACATGGGACAGAGGGAAGTGAAGGTCTTGTCCCCTCTGATGTCCTTTGTGTGCCCACAGAGCACCTAGGAGGAGCTTAAATGTGGACGTATCATCAGTGAGAGCAGTTTCCATCCACTGAGCACTGCTGATAACCAAAGCAAGATGACTTGACCCCTCTTCCCCCCAGCTGAAGCACAAAGGGAAGAGACAGAGTGTTTCTCCAAGCTGAGGTCTGAACCCAGCACAACCCTTCCCACATTTCCCCAGGTCTTGGGGCTAAGGGGAAGATCAGCAGACTTGACCGTGTTCCACTGTATGAGGTAGCTCAGCACTCTGGGACATGGCTGAAGCCTGGGCTGGAGAGCACTATTGCCCACAGGAGGTGGGAAAGGCTGACATGAGCAGCAGGGCCCCTCAGCTGTTCTCCTCTGTGCTGGAGGGTGCATTTCTGGACTCTCTGTGGAGTCCCAGTATGCTCTTCACAATGTCTGAGCAAAATGCCACTGCATCTTTGCAAGCTGTGCTCTTTTTATTCCCTCGTTAAGAATGCTCCAGCACTAGGTTCATTTTGGCCCTGGGGATGAAGGAGGCTACCTGTGACCCAGGAGTGATGCACAGGGGGCATGGAGTCCTTGCCCTCCTGGTATTTCCTTTGGTGAGGCTCCAGCCAGAGACAGCGTGGCTGGAGTGTTTGGGCATTGCCAGCAGAGGGAGATGGCCAGCTGCCTGCCAGGCTCCCCCAAATCTGGCAGGTTTTGCGTGCAACCTGCAATTCCTGTTCCTCTGGACTTTCCATCCTGCCCGTCAGCAGAGGTGCATCAGCTCCTCTGACACTTGCCCTACTGGCGATGTATCTTCACTGCAGCTGAGTACTTGCAGCTTCACCATCTCAGAAGTCTGACTGTGCTGACATTTTGTGCACATATTTCCAGAACATCCATCTAAGGTCTTGCAAACACAGGCCCTTTCTAGCCTGATAAATGCCCAGCAGGTCAGAAAAATGCTGCCTGTTTAGAACTACTCTTTGGGCTTGGTGGGTCCATATCTTGTTCTTCTGCTTTCTTCCTCCTTTTCTTCATTATGTATCAATGGATTTTATCCAGGCCACTTACTATGGCATCTAGTTTTGGTGTTGAACCTGGTTTTACAGCTGATCCTCTAAAGAAGTGGCCTCTACAGCCTCAGTTGTCTTGAGTTGTTGAGCACTACAATTTACGTACTTTTGGCAGACATCAATCTTAACATACCTCCACGTCCTTTTTTAATGATGAGAATACCAACCTGCCTGACTGGCATAACGATAGGTAAGGTTCAGTGTCCGATCAGCATCCCACAAATCAAGATTTTCAGCCTGTAGTGGGACCATGTTTTGCACATTGCCCTATGGAAATCAGAGTTCAGTTCTGGTAGTGAGCTGTGAGACTTTGGGCTTGGATGCCTTGTTGCTGTGAAATCAGGCTGCCTACTTGAGGCATAGGGACTTCAGGTTCTCTTTTCTCCCTGCCAGCATCACATCTTGTGTCGGATGCTCCATATCTCTTATTTCCCTGAAAGAGCTGGAGAAATTACTGCAGGACTTCCCACAGCAGACAGCTGAGTACTCCTGTGGGAAAAGAGGACATGTTCCAGGATAGAAAACCTATGGAAAATATCTATACATAGGCTAAGTATGGTGCATACAAACTAGTGAAATTTTCCAGAGGTGCGGATAAATACCTAGAACTTCTAGGGTCTCAGATTTCTAGGATGCATCTCTATCAATGAATGAAGCAGCACCCAGGGTCATTCCCAGTTCCCATTAAAGTGTTATGACAGGACCTGGTCTTCCTTTCGCCTGTGCCAGACAGCAATTTGCCAGACTTTCCTGGGCACATCTCTGGGGTGCAAACAGCAGGGACCATTCCCCATGGGCTGTTTGCAGGCAGCCAAGCTTGGAAACAGGTCTTTCCATGCCAGTTGTTCTCAGCACCTGGAAGTGTGACTGAGCATTTTTCATTTTATAGTATAGAGTCCCTGGTAACTGTGTTAACAATGATCTTAAAAACGAGCAAAGTTTCTAGAGAAAATTATCCCTAGGGCGAAGCATCAAATCTTGGGAACCTGAGTGGTGGACTACCTGTAGTTGTGTTAGACTGTCTACACTGGAGTTGTAATTTAATGTTTTGTTTTTTTAAAAATAAAACCTCTCACTTTTTGGTGCTTTGATGCTTTTATAGGGCTGGGGAGCAGAGTATCATCGCCAAGATGTTACAAGCACACCCTGCTGGATTGAGATCCACCTGCATGGACCATTGCAATGGCTGGATAAGGTGCTGACACAGATGGGCTCACCTCACAACCCCATCTCCTCAGTCTCTTAAGAATCATCTCTAGAATTGATGGATGCTATTGCAGGCAGTGGCTTAGAGAATTCCCAGTGAACAGAAGCTTCTATATGTAGATGTATGTAGATGTAAATATATCTATACATAGTCTACTCTCCTTTTTTTTTCATGCTACATTTTGTGGTTTCTAGTTACTCTGATGCCAGTACAATAAGTTTAGAAATTCAGGTATAGCGTATGTGTTCTCTAGTACAAAATAAGCCAAATTCCTGCAAAAGTGTCAAACATTTCCTGTGAGCATCTTCATTCCCCAGCCAAGCCAGTAAACGGTGTGAATTCTCAGCACTTTCATGTGAGTTGGGAAACCTGGCTATAGCTGTTCCTAGTAGGTGAAATTCACCCCTCTGCAGGCAACCAAAGTCAGATCTCTATGCCATTTATATCCATTTTACATCCTAATTTCAGGTCTAAAAGAGGACCTTAGGTGGTGCACAGGATTTATGCATAGAGATGACTTTTATCTAGTGAACTGAAGGACTAAGTTGGAATTCTAGTCTGTCTCCCTACTGCAAAGCACGATGGGACATTGTCTTGTCTCTCCTAGGATTTGGCAGGAGGAGAGAATCCTCTGGACATGTTCAGCACTGGAGCCTTATCAGAGCATTCTGGACACATCCAAGTAGTCTGATATTGTTAACACAGTAGGGTACAGTACTGCTGCACTGACAAGCAACAAGCTCCTAAGGAAAAAAAAAGTGAAATATATGCCTATGAGTTAAAAAAGTCATTAATTGTCTCTCCTAGGATTTGGCAGGAGGAGAGAATCCTCTGGACATGTTCAGCACTGGAGCCTTATCAGAGCATTCTGGACACATCCAAGTAGTCTGATATTGTTAACACAGTAGGGTACAGTACTGCTGCACTGACAAGCAACAAGCTCCTAAGGAAAAAAAAAGTGAAATATATGCCTATGAGTTAAAAAAGTCATTAATTAACTTCAAGTGCTTTTTTTGCAAAGTGCATACATACTTGCATATGTATCTGGCATGTAAACTGAATCCTATCCATTATACAGTATTGATGTAGTTTGTTTTAAAGTTAGGACTGTCTGTAGTTAGACTACTGTGCTGATATCAAGGGTACGCCTAAAAGGGACTTGAACTGTGATTCAGAAAAGGGAAATGAAGTGTGCATTGAAGAAGCAAATAATTACTTTTTCATTTGTTCTGGGATAGTCTCCATGCTGGGAACAGGAAGCTCCATGCTCACAGGATGCAGTGAGAAGGAGGTGGGAGTCAGCCACGTCCATCCCCTGTGCTGGGCCAGTCCTGGGGATCTGACTGCATTGCTCGGGGCTGACAGAGAGGGCTTCTGTACATCCCTGTGGATGGTTTCTCATCTTAGATACAGTACAGACCTCATCATCTGCAGTGCTTTTGCCTCACCTGCAGAGGATGGTGAGGCAGTGTAAGCCAAGAACAAGCGAAGAGTGAGTCTATGTGCAGAACCTTGTCTCTGTTCCTTCTGTAAGGTGGGAAACCTATTGCCCATACCCTCATCCACAGAGCCAGCCTTGCAAAATGCTGTCCACCTGCTAACCTTTTCTGAGGAGACAGGTGAAACTGCTACCACATTTTGATGGTCTCCATCATCTTACTGAAAGAGTAGAGGATTATTTCTTGCTAGGCATAACAGTCTACTGGAAACTGTTTTGCTTTAAGGGTCAGAGTGATAACTTCTCCTATCTCATTCCTCTATAGAACACACTAGAAGTATCATGAGGGAAAAGAAAGTTTTACAGAATGTTTCTTTTCTTCTCACACAATATCTGGTGCTACACATTTTGCTGCATAATTAGAAGAGGATGCCTGAAATCTTCAGCTATATCACATATGCAGAAGACAGTGAGTAAATGAACAGTGTCACTTCATTTGAATGTATTTTCAGCTGCCTGCAGAATTTGCAGGGCACAGAAGGATAATTTTTTTTCAGTTTGAGCAGTAGTAGCAAGTTATATAGGAAATTTGTAAATGTGAAGTACCCTATCCTGTCACCATTTGACGTCAGCAATGTCATTGTGAGATAGGAAAAAGCTTTATAGCCTCTGCAGCAATGAAATCAAATAATAATATTACACAGAAATTCCAGGTGTGCCATTTACTGTTTAGCAGCGAGACATCAGTTTGGAAAAATGCATTTTCCTCAGTTCCCCCTGTCATCAGTAACACAAGGTACTGGTACATGGGTTTTAGCATGTTTATTGCACCTATTCTCCACCAGTAGCAGGTTTACTCTAGGTTGAACACCTTTTCATGTTGCTCATTCCTTTGCTTGCTTAGCAGCTAGGGACAGAGAAAATCACCTCTCCTGTCCAGGACCTAGCTCTGTCCTTTATCCTAGATTCTTCCTCACCTTTTAGGCTGAAACAGCCTTCCTTCCTAATACAGAGGGAAGCCTCGGAGTTGCTTTTAGACATTCCCAGCATTGTCATCTGGCTTCCAGAGAGCAAAGGGAAATGTTCTGAGGTGCATCTGCTCTTGGGCAGCTCCAGAACACAGTTTTCTGCCAATGCTGCAGAGGAAAATTGGATGGCCAGTGAGTGAAAAGTAGCTGGTTTTTCTGGAGCATCATTTGTTTTGTTTTGTCCTAAGGAAGGTATTTCAAGTAGGTGAAACACCCTGTGCTCTGAGCATGCTTATGTCTTCCCACTGAGTATAAGGGGAACTTGAGGTCACTAGCTCAACTGTGGACTACTACACTGGACATATCCAACAGTAGCTGAGGTGAGCCCTAAGGAAGATGTGGCAGCTTTCCCAGCTGAGTAATGGTGCTTGCTCAGAAAGTGTCTGTGTTGTTTAACTGAGCAGTTTTTCCTTTCCTGTATGTCTACTTTTATAGTAATCTTTATACAAATAGGATTTGGCTTCCATTCAGTCCATACATGCATCTCATTAAGGGTAGTCACTAAATACTGCCTTACTAGCAAGTAAAGAGGCATTTCTGGAACATGATTTTTCTGACCTATTTAAAATGTCTGTATGAAGATGAGATCAATTTCAGGAAACTTAACTGTTGGCTGAAGGTTGGATCAAAGCATCTGATTCTGGGCAATTGAAGCCACCTCAGAGTTGTTAGCCTTTGGGAAGGCTGTATCCCTGTGTCAGCTATTTCCTGTTTTGGTGGCCTCTGGGTGCTTAGCCCACTGTATGAGGTGCTGTGTGAACACATGGAAGCTGACAGTTCCTTCCCAAGAGAAGGGGAGAGCTCACAGTACATGGGAGGAGTGATAACAATGTATGAGACAAACAAGTAAATAGGAAGATGACCCCTGCCCAGATTCAGAGATAAAAAGTAAGGCTAATAAACCATTTATTTTCCTTTCTTTTTGAACTAAGTTTCTTTTGCAGGCTTCTCTAGTATATGTGAATTGAATTTGGTTTAAATTTCAGGTTTCTTATCATTTACAGCAACGTAACTTTGTCCCTCTAATGTCTCCCCATTTTGAAAGGAGATTTTTTCTGCTGAAAGGTCTTCATGAACTTACCAACCTGTAGTCAATTAAAGGCCTTTAAATGGACTTATTAATACTCAAGCTTTGGAGATAGTATTCCTGAGAGTTTTAAAACCACTTACAGGGAGACTACTTAGTTGAAGGCAGATTTTATACAATTTTTGTTGAGCTATCAACAGTTCAAAACCTCTTGAAAGTTTCTGTGAAGGAGTATCATGCATCAGCAGTCAGAAGTGGGAGTTTGATCAGGCAGAGGCATAAAGCACATTCATCATGGTACACAGACCACTTGTTTTCCTATTAAGCAGTCAAGAGAAGAGGAGTCTAATTGCTGCCAGTTCTTCTGCAGCACCAGAATTAATGTGCTGTTTACATCCAGAGGTGACACAAGCAGATCTAGCATACTGGCTCTGTGGAGCCCCTCAGTGGCACTGCTGCTTGGGTGGCTCAGTCCCATCCCCTTGCAGTGGAACAGCTGATCAGGCACAGTACAGCAGTGGCTGTAGCATTCACAAGTGCAGCATGTGCCTTCCCTCCCCATCAGTGCCTATGCCATGAGAGTCTTTACTCCTCAGCAGACTTTCACATTTGTTGTGCTGAGTTTGAAGGATAATATATCAGCAGCTTAAAGGGGAACTGTGGCCCAAAGTAACATCAGCTGGAGTTGAGGAAATTCTTTCCATGACTCAGCAGGTAGTGTGTCAAGACTTTCACCGCCCTGAGCAGCCTTCTCCAAGTGGTCTCTGCCTTGAGCAGGGTGTCAGAGATGCCCTGAAGAGACCCTTTCCAATTTACATTATCCTGTGGGCCTGTGTGGAGATTCAGTGGTAACTGGTTGGCCCAGGAAGGAGCTCTCTGTCTGCAGGGAAAGTTTCAGGATGAAGCATGTTTATCTCCAGCTATTTCTGCATAAGTTCAGTGCAGGATGGAGTTATGTAGTATTAATGTTCCCTCAGCATAAAATCAACACTGCAAACATCTCTCACTGTAAACATCATCTCCATCACAGCATGCTGAAGTGGAGAAAATAAGGCATTTGTGAATGTAACTTCAGAGTCTAATCTGCCCTTGTTCTTCCTGGTTTATAACAGCCACCTTTGCTTATCAGCTCTTGGAATCAGTCTCACCAGCAACTGAGTTGTTGCACAAACAGCTGGATTTACAGGGCAGCTCAGGCAGAGATTGTTTGCTTCTTGACTGGATGGAAACAATTTATAAAGATGCCTGATTGAATTAATAACTTTGAAGGTGTCTCAAGTATAAGGCCAATTTTCTTGAATCATTAGAGACTTCTCTAGTGCAGCTATAGCTTTCAGGAATACTTGAGCACTACATGGTGTTCAGCACAGGAAAGAAACATTGCATCCTCTGTACTATTCACCTCTTCCCTGGTACCCCATGACCTAACTTAGTAAAACCAAAACTAAACACAACAAAAAAGGATACATGAGTCATAGGGTAGAGCAATTAAATACCATTTTTCAAAGTTGAGAAGTGCTGCCCAGAATATAGATTTATATCATCACAAGGCTATGTA